GAATGTGGTTTCTATTAATAATTAATTTCTACAATACGAATAATGTCATATTCCAATTCAATGAGTTTGTTGACTCAAATATGAATCTCACTCTTTTATGAATTAGAGTAAAAATCATTATATACACGTGTCAATTTAATATCTCAAGATTAAGACCTTAAGCAATCATAATAATAATGATGTATTTATTCTCATATTTACTCAATAAAAAGAAAATAACCTCAATAATGGTTATGTCCAATACACAAAGTGTATAGTGCAACAATTTGAGATAGCAGACAGTCTCCTATAGCCAAGATAAACTATGCTAGAAGATTGAACTATAGTCCTAGCAATGGTGTGTTCAATTCTATCTACGACTATGAACTTTAGTTATACTATACAAGGATCCAAGAATCTAATCTTCTGTGCATAAGCCGAACTTGACACACCAGATTATCTATAACATAAAACACATGCATACCATATATTTAATATAATACAAATATTTTATCTATAACAATTCTCATTGAAATACGAAACAACGAACCTTTATTAAATAATAAACTGAGTTTTTTTTCGTGAACATCGACTGTGCGAGGAGATTTTATTGACTTTAAAATTTAAATTACACTTATCCAAAGGACGTATTTACCTTACCCCTCAATGCAATCTAATTACATTAAAATAATTAAAGAAAAGCAAAAATGCATGTTGAGTACAAGAAATAAATAAAAATGAATTAACCTAAACATGTTGCTTTTTAACTTCCTAATAAATAGTCCAACTAAAAATCTAGATGAAATCCAGTAGAAGGAGTCCATCGGATTCAGTAGGCAACAAACTGAGTAGTCACATGAACAGTGACGTGAACAGTGTAAACTACAGAAACAATCCAGCCAGTGCAGTGGTTGTCCAAGGAGAGGCCAAAAATAATGTGGCATTAAGATACAACTCTGGAAATAATAATGACAGCTGATAGTATCAACAACTGATATGAGCTGAGAGCATAGCTAAAAGACAAGAGGAGCCGTGTACAAAAGTTATAAATAAGCTGAGAGCGCATAAAAGCACCAGCTTTCTTCAAAGAACATCAGCTAAAATGCTCCCAAATGAGCTACAAGCAACCTCTATGAGGAGCTGGGAGTTGTTTGAGCTAAAAGGAGTAGTAATAAGCTGAAGGAGCTAGGCCATGCTCAGGTATAAAACCTATCCAATAAGGTACCTGAAGAGCCATATTGGGGACCTTTGATAAGCCATCATGGATGATAAGCTAGCCGCACCTAGGAATCTTGGAAGCCAATAACTCTATCAGACACCACATGGCAGGGTTAGTATCAATTTGATTATTGAAATCTTATTTCGATACACAAAATTGTGTCAATTTGATCGCAGACAAAGATCCACAACAACGAAGATACCTCATCCTCATGTCCAAAGCACTTGCACATCATGTTTTTCAATTTATGATAGAAAACTGAACAACAATTTGGGTCTGGTCTACATTGCTATTAATTCATAACATTGAGGGTGTAAGTTGAGTTATTTAATGTATGAAGGTGTAAATTAAGAATTGAAGTATCTTTCGGGGTGAAAATTAGATTAACTCAATATTCTATAATCTTCTAGAAATATGAGAGCATAGTTTCCTCCCCCTCCTAATCCCCCCCCTCCTTGAAAAAAAATAGTATAGTTTCGGAAGTTAAAGGACGAGTATAGTTATGACGAAGGTATCGTGATAAAAACTATAATATTTTAAGATCAAGTCATAATTTTTTGGATTGATCCCTTGGGTGGAGTAAGTTTGGGGTACTCTTAAATTCAAATATTCTAGGTTTGATTGAATCTTGTCTCTCGAGTTTAATAGTCATCAGTGATGAACGATTGTAGTTATTTAGAATTTAAGTATAACACATCAAGAGATACCTACCTTGTGATTATTAGAAAAGCCATACAAGAAAGACCTCGGGTTTGGATAAGCCTTATGTGTCAGCAGTATTGAGCCTTGTGAGATGGTAATATTTAGTGTAATACGAAGAACCCTAAAAGAGATTCCAAAAAATTTACATATTAAAACCATTGGTAGACAAGTAAACTATCCTACGACTTTTGAGGATCATGAGTGTTTGTCTTGCTGCATGACATTGTTGAATTGCACCAATAAGCAGTGATCTTGGACGAATGAAGATTTTTTTTTTGAAGTAGGATATATTTAGTATTTTTTTTTTGTCGTTTTGTTAGGATTATATTTCTATGAATAATATTGTTGTTTAAAAGTCTATATTGAGAAGTGACATGTATACAAGTTGTGATTTAATCCTTTTATAGAAAAATATATATAATGTATTTATTAGTGGGTCAAGTCTGCATCATTTTAATTTCAAACTTACTTACTTCAATCAACTTGAATAATTTACAATTATTAAGTTTACTTGATGGTGTACCAAAATTGCATTTTACGTGGGTTAATTGCAAATTGTCCAGTCCAATTTGGGTTGTGTACCAATTAACTCCCTCTTATTTTAATTATAAAGTTAAAACACACACACAAATGGGAGGATACATTAGAAAGAAGTATATAACATTAAGGTTGAGGGTAGTTTAAGAATTTTATATCTCCATGCACGAAATCAGTTAATTTTGTCACCTAGAAATTTTAATGGGCAAAATTTTTAAATTGAGATTAGAGTGAGTTAATTGCTACACAATCTAAACTTGAAGGGTGTAAATTTGTAATTAACCCATTTCAAAACTGCCTGATCACACCCCCCCCCCCCAAAAAAAAAGGAAGATTTGGTTGATTACTATTTCCATTGAAACAAAAGACCAACAAAGCTATTCTCCATTTCCACATCAGACCATATAAGCAGTTTTCAAAAGGCTGTTTCCTCGTAGTGTCTTGATGTAACCCTTTTACCTATTAGTCTACAATCTAAAGCTATTATATGAAAGTCCTACATCATGGGAGTTTCTTGGCTAACTGTCATGGAAAACTCCGCTATACGTGGCCAGTTCAAGTACTTTAGGAAAACTCCGTCTATGCCTTTACGTGGGAATTCACATATTACCATCAATATTACAACACGAATAAATCATTGTATTACCCTTTCAATAATATTAAAATGAATAAACCATCTTAGGATCCAATCACACAAAATGAAAAAAAAAAAAAAACTTATTTGACCATAATAGAGGGACAAGAATGTTGCAAAATAAATATTATCACAGTTCTATGTTCTATACATCAATCATGATAGAAATCTAATTGTTTTACTTTGACAACAAGGTTGTATACAATATATATGTGGTATCAACGAAGGCTTTGATACCACTTGTTGGAACGATAGTACCAAGATCCGTTGACGTCGCATGTAATTGATTACAAAAATTTTACTTGTTTATTGACTCTATAAACCAGAATTAGAATTTACTTTTGATTAACAAATCCACATGAATGAAGAACAAATGCAGATCAAATAACATACTCAATGAACCTCACGATCGTCTACCGTATATCCTTCCACACCAAAAATTCGAATACAATATGGACTGTAATCCTCAGAATTTTCTCCCTTGTTCTCTTTCTCTCTCTGCCTTTTCTAAATGTGAGGGTAAAAGTTATCACTAAGAGAATCAGGGAATGCATTTATTTATACGCTACAATAGACATCTTCAAGAGAAATAAGGACCGGGCTTCCAATGGACTTGGAAATCCTATGTCCAACGCAGAACAAACATCTTGTGGTCCATTAATAAAGAGTTCATTGACTAAAAACTTATTATTGATTTCTTGAATCTTATCTCAAAATTATATTTCAAGCTCCTCATTATTATGTGCTTAATAATCTCCCTATATTTAAAATTAAAGATGTCCGACAATTATTTAAATTACTGACACTTATATTTGATTGACTTTTTTTAATCCTTGAGATTCTACCACTCAACTTATTTGTCATGTCAGATAATTAAATTCACCTACAGGGTTTGACGTAAACAAAACTTTTGAGCTTCTTCAAAAAGACATCATTAACCCATTTAAATAATGTCATCTTCCAATTCACTGAACTTGTTGACTAAAATATGAATCTCACTCTTTTATGAATTAAAGTAAAAATTATTATATGCACGTGTCAATTAAATATCTCAAGATTAAGATCTTAAGCAATCGTAATAACAATAAGGTATTTATTTTCTTATTTACTAAATCAAAAGAAAATAACCTCAATAATGGTCATGTCCAATACACAGCAGACAGTCTCCTATAGCCAAGACAAACTATGACAGAAGATTGCACTATAATCCTACTGATGGTGTGTTCAATTGTATCTAAGACTATGAACATTTACTTATACTATACAAGGATCCAAGAATCTGATATTCTGTGCATAAGTCGAACTCTATACACCAGATTATCAATAATGTAAAACACATGCATACCGTATATTTAATATAATACAAATATTTTATCTATATTGATTCCCAATTAAATAGGAAACAAAGAACATTTATTAAATAATAAACTGAGTTTTTTTTTCGTGAACCTCGACGGTATGAGGAAATTTTATTGATTTGAAAAGTTAAATTACACTTTGCCAGGGGGACGTATGTACGTTACCCCTCAATGCAATCTAATTACATTAAAATAATTAAAGAATAACAAAAATGCATGCTTAGTACAAGAAATAAATAAAAATAAGTTAACCTAAAGATTCTGCATTTTAAACTCATAATAAATAGTCCAGCTAAAAATCCAGACAAAATCCAAAAGAAGGAGTCCAGCAAATTTAGCATGCAACTAGCTGAACAGTGATGTGAATAGTGTAAACTTCAGAAACAGTCCAGCCAGTGCAGAGGCTGTCCAAGGAGAGTCCAGAAATAATGTGGCATTGAGATACAACTCTAGAAATAATAATGACAGCTGATAGTATCAATAGTTGATATGAGTTGAAAGCATAGTTGAAAGACGCGATGAACCTTGTACAAAAGCTATAAATAAGATGAGAGCACATAAAAGCAACAACTGTCTTGAAAGAACAACTGCTGAAATGCTCCCAAGTGAGTTGCAAGCAACCTTTGTCAAGAGCTGGGAGACAAGTTGTTTGAGCTGAAATGAGCAGTTATAAGCTGAAGCAGCTAGGCCATGATCATGTACATAACCTATCCAATAAGGTAACTGAAGAGCCATATTGGGGACCTTTGACAAGCTATCATGGATGATAAGCCAACCGAACCTAGCAATCTTGAAAGCCAATAACTCTATTAGACACCACATGGTAGGTTAAGTATCAATCTGATTAATGAAATTTTATTTTCAATACACAAAACTGTGTCAAATTGATCACAGACGAAAATCTACAACAATGAACATACCTCATGCTCATGTTTGAAGTACTTGCACTTCACATGCTTCAATTTATGATAGAAAACTGAATGGCAGTCTAGGTCTGGTCTACATTGTTACTAATTCATAACATTGAGGGTGTAAATTGAGTTATTTAATGTTTGAGGGTGTAAATTAAGAATCGAATCATCTTTCGTGGTGAAAAGTTAGATTAACCCAATATTCTATACTCTTCTAGGAATATAAGAAGAAAGCAGTTATCTAGGATCTCAATTTATAACAATATTAACTTTTGCCTAGTATCTTGAGCTATATCGCATATCCTCATTTTTTAATCAAGAGTTAATTATAAAATACTCCCTTTAACTTTTGGTAGTTTGTCAGTCACCCTTCAAGTTTTAATTTCAAGAAATAGTTCTCCTATGAGTTTGAATATTTTGTAATTAACTCCAACAGTTGGTGTTGGGTGGAGGCGGAGGCAGAGGCGAACATAATGTTGTGTAGTGTGTTGGTGTTGGGCTGAACATATATATATTTTTCTTGGCTTTTTTGTTTCCTTATTTTTTTATAGTAAAATTGGTACCTCAAGAAAAAAATATATGAAAAATAATGTGCAAGATGGAGGGTTTAATGATAGTTTCATGTTTCAAACACAATTGTCAGTCAATTAGTCTATTTAAACCTTGAGATACCAAGTAGAATTACAGGTTTAGGCTGGACTAAAATACAATTTCACTTTGGTTTATTTCCCTTTTCTAAACTATGTTGATTGAAATTTGGGTTAAAAGTGGATAATGCCTATAAAGCCCTTAAGACCAATTCAAATATTGAAATTCTATGTCCACTTTCAAAATGTATCAGATTAAGCTCGAATTGACCAGCCCAAACAACATCCTTGATTGGTCTTGATGGTGTATTTCAATGTGGATAAGCAAAAGGTGCAAGTAACATAAGATGAGCGTGGATCAGAGATTCAAGGCTCGTGTATGATGATGCAATCAAATATTGAGGGGATTAAATGGGTGTACACAGTAAAAATATTGTGGTTCAACGGCTCGGGAGCTTGGCTACTAGTCCACTCTTCAATGGATGTTCTTGCTCATTTTCTTCTCTATTTACTATACCAAAAGATTTACAGAATGTAAGATGTGCTACTAGGGTTCTTGGTCATTCGGTCCCCCTTTCTGATGGGGGCGTTACATGGTATTTATAGAGGTGACCCTTAATCTATGGGATCTGATCCGTGATCCTCGCCATCTATACGAGGAATTCTTCTTGATCTTAGGAGAGTATCTTGGTTGGTTGAGGATTTTATGTCTTGAGTGTTACTTCAAACTGCCTGTAGAGTTCTTTGTAGTATCCAATTGCTTCCTCATTGCTTCAGCTTATTATCTCACTTGAGGGGAGATCTAGCTCTGGTTTTCTGAGCTCTGCATAGCTCTGACTTTCTAAGCTCAGCATACCTGACCTCCATGTTTGACCTCCGTTCTCGAGCTCCTGCTCGGGAATTATTCTGAGTATCATCAGCTGCCACCCAGCTCTTGGCCGAGTTGGCTTGGGCAAGGGCTGAACTTAGGATGTAACAGTAATGGCTTCCCAATCAGCGACTTCAAATGTGCTCTAGCTGTGCGTTTTAACATTAGTCTTCCCTTGTCCCCCTTGCTTTAAGGAGTGCTGAGCTCTTTCGAAAGCAAGAATGCTTTGGGAGTTTCATACTTGAGCTTATTGGATGAGAGCAAGTGGTAAATCTCATCACCAGCTGCACCCTGCGTTTCATGCTGGCTTGGGCGATTCTATAGGTTTATGCAGCCGAGCTTAGGTTTTGGTGAACTGAGAGGCATGGAGCATAAAGCGATCTTATTCTTGAAGGCTTGGCGGTGTCTGGCACAGCTTTATCTTTAGTGGGAATAAAGCTGTCGAGTTCAATTTTGGACTTGGGAACTGTCTGGATTTTTCAAGATGTTGGACTTGTAGACCTCATGGTTCTGCAACTTCTTCTGAAACAGTTTTTCTTCTTAAACTCCCCATCGTAGATGGCCGAGCTCGTTGTGATGAACTTAGGAGTTCATTGAGAGCTACTCAGGTCATTTTTATGAACTTAAGGGTTCATCGTGAGCTCTAAGGCTTTTATTACGGACTAATGAGTTCATCGTGAGCTCCAGGGCTCTTATTACGAACTAATGCGTTCGTCGTGAGCTCTAGGGTACTTTTTAAGAACTAACGAGTTCCTTGTGAGCTCCAGAGTTCTTTTTAGGAACTAATGAGTTCATCGTGAGCTCTAAGGCTCTTATTAAGGACTAATGAGTTCGTCCTAAGCTCCAGGGCTCTTATTACAAACTAATGAGTTCGTCGTGAGCTTCAGGGCTCTTTTTCTGAACTAACGAGTTCGTCGTGAGCTCCAGGGCTCTTTTATGAACTAACGACTTCATCGTGAGCTCTAAGGCTCTTATTACGAACTAATGAGTTCGTCGTGAGCTTCAAGGCCCTTATTACGAACTAAGGAGTTCTTCGTGAGCTCCAGGTCTCTTTTTATGAACTAACGATTTCATCGTGAGCTCCAAGGCTCTTTTTATGAACTAACGAGTTCGTCGTGAGCTTCAGGGCTCTTATTACTAACTAATGAGTTCGTCGTGAGCTCTAGGGCTCTTATTACAAACTAAAGAGTTCTTCGTGAGCTCCAGGTCTCTTTTTATGAACTAACGAGTTCCTCGTGAACTCCAGGGCTCTTATTACGGACTAATGAGTTCATCGTGAGCTCCAGGGCTCTTCTTATGAACTTATGAGTTCATCGTGAGCTCCAAGGCTTTTTTATGAACTAATAAGTTCATCATGAGCTCTAAGGCTCTTATTACGGACTAAGGAGTTCGTCGTGAGCTGCAGGGCTCTTATTACGAACTAAGAAGTTCATCGTGAGCTCCAAGGCTCTTTTTGTGAACTAACGAGTTCCTCGTGAGCTCCAGGGCTCTTCTTATGAACTAACGAGTTCATCGTGAGCTCTAAGGCTCTTATTATAGACTAATGAGTTCGTCGTGAGCTCTAGTGTTCTTATTACAAACTAATGAGTTCGTCGTGAGCTCCAGATCTTTTATTACGAACTAACGAGTTCGTCATGAGCTCCAGCGCACTTTTTATGAACTAACGAGTTCGTCGTGAGCTCTAGGGCTCTTTCTATGAACTAACGAGTTCTTCGTGAGTTTTAAGGCTCTTATTACAAACTAATGGGTTCATCGTGAGCTCCAAGGCTCTTATTACGAACTAATGAGTTCGTCATGAGCTCTAGGGCTCTTATAACGAACTAAGGAGTTCGTCATGAGCTCCAGGGTTCTTTTTAGGAACTAACGAGTTCATCGTGAGCTCCAAGGCTCTTATTACGGACGAATGAGTTCGTCGTGAGCTCCAGAGCTCTTATTATGATCTAATGAGTTCGTCGTGAGCTCTAGGGATCTTATTATGAACTAAGGAGTTCGTCATCAGCTCCTGGGCTCTTTTTATGAACTAATGAGTTCCTCGTGAGCTCTAAGGCTCTTATTATGGACTAATGAGTTCGTCGTGAGCTCCAGGACTCTTATTACGAACTAATGAGTTCGTCGTGAGCTCCAGGGCTCTTGAGGAGAGGTGTTAAAAAATCTCATTTATACAGACTACCTTATAAGATGGAAAATCTGGCCGACTTTACCCTTAGTTTTGCTGCCTCCTTAGGGTCTATTGGAAGGGTTCCATTCTGTAGGTAGTCTCAAATGGGATCCATCCAGATGTTTAATTTCGTGACTGGGAGCACCTTTTCGAGAATTCCTACTGATGGTTCTGCTAAGTGTTCCATTGGAATCAAGTTGTCCAAGTTCTCCTGAGAAGCAGTTGCTAACCATGCCAGCGTGTCTGCTCGGGAATTCTCTTTCTTGGGGATGTTTTTGAATTTAACTTGCACAAACTTTTGCACCCTTCTAAGATAAAGAGCCATCTTTTCGCCTTTGGCCTCGTAAGACCCCTTTATCTGCTTTATCACAAGCTGTGAATCACTATAGACCTGAAGTTGTTCTGTTTCCATCGAGTGTGCAAGGTTGAGCCCTCCTATAACGGCCTCGTACTCTTCTTCGTTGTTTGAAGTTTTAATTCCAAACCTAAGAACGTATTCAACATCTATCTCATTTGGGGAGGTCAGGATTGAGCCAACAACCCTGTCCTAAGCATTGGTAGTCCCATCTATTGAAAGCCTCCATATAGGGAGGTCAGGTACCAATTACACTACTCCCATGGGTTGTTTTGTTGTGAATTCTGCTATAAAATCTGCTAGGATCTGCCCCTTGATATCCACTCTTGGTTTGTACCTGATATTGAACTCATTGAGCTCGATAGCCCACTTAACCAACCTTCCCGAAGACTCTGGCTTGTGCAGCACTTGCTTTATTGGCTGAGCCTTCTAGTAGTTGTGACTAAAGCCAAGAAAAGCTTTTTCATCTTTGGGTATCTTTCTTCAGCCCCCCTCAGAGCTCTACTACAGTAGTAAACTGGTTGCTGAGCTTTGTCTCGCTCCCTTACTAGCACTGTGCTGGTTGAGAAGTCTGAGACAGCTAAGTAGAGGGTAAGCACTTCCCCTTTTAAGGTGCTAACCAGAATTGGGGGAGAGCTCAAATAGTCCTTCATGGCTCTGAACACTTTCTCCCATTGGTTATCCCATTGAAATGCCTTTTTTAAGAATTGAAAGAACGGTTAACTTTTGTCGCTTGATCTAGATACAAAACGGCTTAGGGCTGCTATTCTTCCTATCAAACGCTAAACTTCTTTGGTGTTGGACGGCGGCTTCTTATCCATTATTGCTTTAACTTTGATAGGTGCTCAACATGGAG